ATTCTCTTCAGCTCTGTCACTGCACTTAATCTTCAGATTAGTAGTTAACTCTGTATCTCTCTCAGATCAGTCTCTGACTTTCAGTAGTATAGTCTCACTCTTTACTATAAGTCTCTCTGTAAGTAATTTCTTACAGATTTTAACTGACAGTTTCTATAAAGCTCTCAGTACTGCTAGTGTTCTCTGCAGCTCTGCAGATCTATAATCACTCTCTCTCTATCTGTACAATCTCTGATCAGATATATATAAATATGTTTAAATTCTCTATTAACAGTTCTCACACTGTAGCATATTTTCACAATCTCATTATTAATAAGTAATAAGTTCTCAGATACTTACAAAATTCAGATAATTAAGATAATATAAATATTATAAATTTATAATAGAAGTTAATCTGAGTAGATGAGTCTTCTCTCTGTATCTTAATTATTTTCAGACTGAATACTTCAGTGTAACTGAGAGAGTAAACATAGCTTCATAAGAGATATCTGATTATATATATAGATAATCAGTTCTTAAGACTCTATTATAACTGTATATACTCTGATATTCAGCTTCTCTGAAGTATGTATATTTCTGATAGTCTTCATGTTAAATATAATAATTATCTGTATCACAGATATAATACTCTCTACTTCTCTGAAGAGAAGTATTGATAGTCATAGAGAAGTTGAGTATTATAGATATTAAGAATATAAGTATGAGTTTTCTTTATTTTTTCTTTATTAATCTCTAAATTATGTTCACAGCTCTATTTTTATTTTCATTATTTTTTAACTTTAATAAGAATATAATTTCTTCTTCTCTTTATATACATTATGAACTCTTCATCTCAGTGGAAACTCATTATATTATAGACTAGAATTTATAAATAACAGTTTTAATATCTTTATTATCACTAGATTCTTAGTGAAGATTATATTATTCTGACTTATCAGAATATATAATATAAAAGTCATATCTCAGCTTCTACAGATATCTTATTCACTCAGATAATTCTTAAGTAAACTTATTTATCTTATCAGAATACTCTTATCACTGAATCTTAAATCAGAGCTTATAATCTCACTTCTCTAAGTTAATAATCTTTTTAATCTGATATTCTCTTTCACTCTCTAGTACTTCATGAATAGAGTGATGAGTCACAGAGTTCTCTTCTGAGAATTTCTTATATTTATAAAGTAAAGAGACATGAAAAACATTGTATATTTATAACTTAGATAACAGTTTCAATCTATAAAACTGTAAACTAACTTTCTTTATAATCTTATAAGACTCTGTCTGTAAGAGATTCAGCTTCTTACTAGATCTCTATATAATAATATTTTCTAGACTCAGTCAGACTCAATTAGACTGACTGTATAACCGTGTCTGAGACCAGAATCAAACTTTACAGTTATCATGTTATCTAAAAGCATTACTTCTGATCATGATTTGTATTTATCACATTGATTTCAAATCACATTATTTCAAATATTAAAGATTTCAGATTCACTTTTCAAATAAAAATCTAGTCTCAGATTGTGATTCAAAGATTGCTTAAGTCAGTGTACAATTACAGGTGTACGCTGGCTTCTTATATATTGTAATATCATATACTAAATTAATTAGTGGCCGCTATGACCTTCTTTACATTTGTACACTAGTAGTTTGAAAGCGGCTGTGTTATTATCTGACAGTCATACATTCTTCTGAATCATATTCTCTCTCACCAGATTCAGTCACACTCATGTGATCATGTCATATATTCTAGCTTCATGCAGATTAGCTCATCACTAGTGTTTTATAATTGTGTAATCTATCTCTGATTCAGCTAGCATTCTGTGTACACTCTCACAAAGAAACTTTCACTATATTACATCACTTATTCACTAACTTTTCTCATTCTTCAATCATCATCTTCATCATTGTCATCATCAAATGTTATCATCTCATTCAAGATTTCTATTTCTTCTTCTGTTCAACTCTTTTCATCTGTTCATCTATCATATCATATGCATTCCTGGCAATGGTCTCTCATTCCCACAATAAGTGTTCTCATAGTGCTTATACTGAGCAGTTTGTTAGCAGTAAGTGTAATGCATTGTGAAACATGATCAGGACTTGTTTATCTTCTAACAATTGTCAGAACATACTATCATGAATGACACATCTTCTCTATCTTCTCATACATTCTCAACTGTTTCCTTCTCAGTGGGTTTCTGATCATGTTTTCTGGCATGATTTTATGTGAACACAGATGCTGATATGTTGTTTTTATTCACATAGAATCTTCACACATTGACAGATCCACGTTCACTGATGATAGTGAACTCAGTGTTGAATCATTGATTGAGAACTTAGAGAATGTGATAATGAAGGAATTGTCTGTGTCATGTGTGATCAGGTCTTCTGCATTCTCTCCTGCTTCTTCTGCTGCTTCTTTCTCTGCTGCTCTCTCTCAATCTTCTACACTTGCCCCTGTGTCTGGTTCTCCCACTTCCTCTACCTCTGTTCCCGCGACCCCTACTCCCGCTACTCCTGGTTTTGCCATCTCTGCTTTCATTACCAGCTCTCCTCATTTTAAGAAGATATTATGTAGGCTTAATGAACCATATCTTTCAGTGTGCACACTTCTGCTCTTCTTACTGACTCTCAGAACAATTTATTATATAAAGACAGTGTATGATACAACTATCTGAAGCTCAGTCACAGATAGACTGACCGTGTGACCGTGTCTGAGACCAGGACCAAACTTTACAGTTGTCACATTGCCTAAAAGCATTACTCCTGGTCATGGTTTGTGTTCATCACATTGATTTCAAATCACATTATTTCAAATATTAAAGGTTTCAGATTCACTTTTCAAATAAAAATCTAGTTCTGAATAAAGAATATGTTTGAATTCTTAGTCACATTTTCATTCTGATCTCATTATTGAGAATGGCATTAAATGAGATCATGAAATCAGTTCTCACTTATATAATATCATAACATAGTGCTCATTTGTTGAAAATTCAACAGAGAGTATTATCAAATATTGTTACTTTTCTGAACACAGATCATAATTCATATAATTTTAATTATGAAAAAAACATAAAATACAAAAAAAAATAAAAAACAAAAAACAAAACAAACACAAGAAAAAATCACATTAAAAAAAAAAAAAAAGAAAAGAAAAAGAAAAAAATAAAAAATAAAAATAAAAAAAATCAAGATCACAGAGCTGCAGCATTCTCAAAATACTCACTTCTCAGAGTCTTTGCAATGTTCATCACCAACTGTGTATCTCTCATAGTGAGAATAACACAGCTGTGATGAGTCATTGTCTTAACATCATCTAATAAATAATCAGTATATATCTGTATAAATGTGAATAATTAGAAAATATACACTTAAAAAGTGTGACTAGGGTGAACTCTGCTGTCACTTGAATGATATCAAGGACAGAACACTGAAATCAATGATTTCTCTCATTGATTTCACAGACAAGGCATGTGAAGATGATCTTAGAAAATATAAGATTTCTCAACTTCTGATAAAAATGAATCTCATGAAGAGACTCTATTTTCATAATATCAGAGACTGAGTATTATCAAAAAGTGTTACTTTCATGCAATGCACATGCACTTACTGCAGTGATTCACTCTCTGCACATGTGACTGAGAATTGCAGCTTTCTCATGCTGCACAGCTCTCTCTGAAATGCTGCTGTCAGTTTGCAACTCACACAGTCTTCCAGTTCAGCACATGCTGCATGTATACAGCCCTGCATGCTGAGGCTGTGTTGGTCATTATGGCCTGGTGTAATACTCGCTTTTTACAAGCCATGTTTTGTTTGAGAAGAGGAGAAGAAGACATGACTGTTATTTTATTAAGAGAGGAATGAATAATTAGTATTGTTGAATTAATTTGATTCATCTGTATTTAAAATTTGATTAGTTTATACTCTTCAATTTGAGGATTTCTATGAGTGTTTTAATAGTTTTCATACCAGCTTGGACTTAGTGATGAGTTGAAGAAGAAGAGAAAAGAGAGAAGAAAGAAATAAGAATAACTTATCTTTATAATATGAAAATAGAGAATCACTGTAATCATTCTCTCTAGCAACAAAGATCTGTTTTCTGCATGTATCCCTGATATAGATTATATGATAAATGTATATAAAGAATACCAATAGTGCATGTATTAAATGAAGATAATGTTGCTATGCAACACTGTAGTCATTTCTGTACATCTCTGAAAGCAGTTAATAGTTTCTTTGTCTCTTTATATTTGATAAGTCAATAATATATTTCAATGCACTCTCTCTTTCATTATTATCATCATCATCATCATCATCATCATTATTATCATTATCATTATTATCATCATTATCATCATTATTATTATCATCATATCATTGCCTGCCTTCACCTTCTTTTCAATGCTTATCAAAACCAATCATATCATTCCTCTTCAAATATTCTGCGGTCCTGCGGACTACCAAGGCATGTGAGCGCCATCACAGATTGAAGAGAGAGAAGAAGAAGGCATTTAAGCATAAGAAGACAGATTGTAAGACACATTATGATGCCTTGAAGAGACTCTGTAAGAGAGTAGAATAATAATAATTTTAAGTAACACTTCTGATAGATTTAGACTGAACTAAGTATAGAAATAATGCAGATGACATCACCTGTGAGAGATTGAAAAAGAAGATAGTGAAGAGTCTCATACAGCAGTGATAAGATTAGAAGAAGTTCTGAGAATGATTTAAGGCCAAGATGAAGAGAGAGAGAGAGAAGAAGAGTGTTACTATAAATAAGTAGCAGTAGAAGAAGATTGAGAAGATATTAAAGTAGAAGATAAAGAAGTCAAAACTAGTAAGTTTTTTATTGAAAGATAATGATTTTTGATAACACTTCTGTTCTCTAATTGATTAGCAGAAGCTGACAGAGAAGGAGGGGATTGAGGCCTTGTTCAGGTCTCAAATGCACTTCATGATTCAGAACATTGAGAAGACAGCCCTGCTCTCTGAGCATGCTAATCTGCTTACTGCTGAGATGGAACCTGAGACAGCAGACCAGGAAATGCGGGATTTTGAAGAGCAGGGTTGACCTGGCTGAGAGAGAGCAGCAGAAATCCTTCTCTGAGAAGGCAGTGAAGAGAGATTTTGAGATGATTATTATCTCAGATGAGAAGAAGAAGAAGAAGAAGAAGAAGAAGAAGAAGAAGAATGAGAAGTGAATTATAAAGAATAATAAGAAGAATGAGAAAGAGAAGAAGTAGATTTTTTTCTTTTTATATTAGTTAGTTATAAGTTTAAGTTTTTAATTATTAATAATTAAAATTGATTTTGAGTTTTCAAAAATTATTGTACAAGTTGTAATCAAGTCAGGAATGATATATATATATATATATATTTAACTATCATGATTCATAAATCACTATAATGTATAAGTATTAACATTTTTTCAACATTGATATTCATAATATTAATATATTTTTAATGATATTATCTGATAATATAATTTGATAACACTCTCTTTCACAATATTAATATATTTCAAGAAATATGATAGAGATTAATCAAGATTGTTTATTTACTTTTATATATCAATGATATTCAATCTGAGTTAGTATTAAAATTATAACTAAGCTAAGAAACAAGATTATTTTCTCTTATATTAATTCTTCTTACACATATCAGTGATCAGTTATTGAAAATAAATTGTTATCTTTCTTAAATTATTATCATGTCTTCTGAATCTACTTCTTTCACTTCTTTTACTTCTATTGAAGATTTATAAACTCTTCAAGAAATCACTGTGAATTACAAAGTCTATCTTGTTTACAATTTAACACAGAATGCTCTCTTTCAATCATAATAAATAATCACTTCATTCTTCACATCTGATTCCAGGTCATGAAATTTATGAAAAACTCAACACAAATATTGAGATGAACTATGAAATAATTATCAATAGATTGTATTATAGATTACTGAAGAGTCATCTCTTTACTGCAATCACTGTAACTTTATTCAGAAACATTCATCATAAACTGATCATGATTCTGAAGAAATTTTCTGACATCTGAAGTCATCAGAATGCAGATAATAAAAGAAAAATAATCAGAAAATTACTACTGAGCTGGTAAGTTACTCTATCAGATAACAATTTTTAATAATACTAACTTTCTAATTTGAAGGAAATCATGTGAAAATGACTCTGTATCAGTACTCTGATTTCACAACTCTCATCTGATAACTTCTGTGAATAATTACTTTGTATATATATATCTCTGAATCTTCCTCTTCAATCAATTGAAAACCCTGAATTTCAAACACTTCTTCAAATACTTAATTCAAATCTTCATATTTCATATCAATCCTGTCTTCAGTTCAACCTTGAGACACACTACAAAGTCAATATACAATATCTAGAATCAGAGTTGAAGAATTATTGAAGAGTGTCTCTCACAGTGAATGCATGAACTAGTACAAACAATCTTACATTTATGAGAGTTATATGTTATTATATTGATGAGAACTGGACTTATCAAGAGACATTAATTGAATTTAAATCATTGATCAGTAGTCATACTGAGAATTATATAGCAGAGATATTAATAACTGTGATTAAAAATGACTATTAGAATATTAGTCTCAGTCTTCTTATAATTACAACTGACAATGCTGTGAATAACTATACTATAATGAAGAGCTTGAAGCAAAAATTGGCTTTGCATTTCTGAAATAATAAATAAGATTATATTCTCTGCATTGCTCATGTGATTCAACTTGTGATGTAAACACTGATAAAGAATCTTAACATTGAGATGAAGAATAATGAGATGACTGATTCTTGAGATGAGAATGAGATGAAAGTGATTACTCAAGTAACTTTTATATTCACTTTGCAAAAGATAATGTTTTTTGATAACACTTTTTGATATTGCTTTTTGATAATGCTTTTTGATAACACTACTGTTAATTTTGAATAGATTGACTAATAATTTAAATATCATAGATTCAAAACATTGCTAATACAATTTGTATCTCTTCTAAATAATAACAACAATTTCATGATATTCAATAAATAAATAAATCAGTCACATCACTGAATATGATACAGAATATTAGAACACAGTGAAGTTCAACATATAAGATAACTATTCAGACTCTTCAATTGTGTCAGATAATTGATTATTGAGTGCAACACTCTGATTGGGAAAAGATTCAGATATTGAAACTTTCAGATATGAAGTGAACTCAGTTGAAATATATGATTGATTTACTGTTTCAGTTTTATAAGACAATAAAGACAGTCTCAATCACTTGTATACTAATGCTGCAGTCAGCCTGGTGAGTGTATAACAGTTTATTTACTTATCTTGAGAAGCAGTTGAATCACTCAAAAAGAAATTCAGTCTGAGATGATACTATAGTACAGGCTATTGTTGCTGTAAGAGATAAACTGGCATATTACTACAGCAAAACAGAACAATCTTTTACAGAGTACTATGCTATAGCAGCTCTACTAGATCTCTTCTGTTGAGTTAATATCTACACTTCTCAAGATTGAACAGAGGAGAAATGAGACTCATATGTTAAATTAGTCTGAGACTACTACAATATCAACTATCAGAGATTTGAATGAGCAGATGTTTGAGATGTGAAGACAGTGAAATACAATTCTCTAGTAAGTAATGATCTTTGATAATGCTTCATATTACATAGAACTATAATACTAACTTTGAAACAGGACTTGCATACATTGATTGCAACTGAAAATCAGGCAAAACTATATGCTTATAAAACTGAATTTGACTGCTATCTTCAAGATGATCTGACAAATTTACATACCAAATCAATTCTAGAGTTATGAAAAATTGTTAAGAGTATATATTCAACTGTTACACTGATGATGTGTGATATTCTGACAATTTCATTAGCAGGGATGAGAATGGAGTGAAAGTTCAACTCAAGTCAAGATATTTGTCACTATCATCAGAGACAATTACAAGGAGAAACAATTAAGAAACTCATGATTATAAAACATGGAATTATCAGACAGTTTAATACCTCTGATCACAGTATATCAGAGAAGTGTAGTTTTCATGAGAAAGTGAAGAATAAACTTACACAAGAATGTATTTAGTTGTTTCATGAGTGTTATCAATAATTGTTATCAAATTCTGATTATATAAGTAATCACTGAATGAACTGAATGAGACTGATTTTAATCTTCAGTCTCAGTTTCATTCTGATTTTGAAAGAATGATCATCTTTCACAGTTTATCCTGGAAAATTACTCTCATTTCACTGTTCTTGAATTAAATCTGGTCATTTTTCACGCCATTTCTCTCAGAAATGGTTCATTTTTAGATTTTTTTGAGGCTTGGTCCTGGTGGGACTCACGCCAAGAAATGTATGAGACCAGACCAAATGGGATCAAATGTGAAATTCATGGTCCCGCCGGCCAGTCTAGTCACAGACACTGATTATTATATTTGTTTTAAATATTCATGATGAGACAATCATTTATTCATATCAGAGAATCAGTTCTCTTCTCAACAGTATCAAGATTATAAGTCTTTTTCTTTTTCATCTTTTCTTTCTGATACTGATTTTTCTGTTCTTAGAAGAAATTGTTATAGGTTTTACTGTGTATGAAGTTATGATATTCATAGATATCAAGAAGCTTTTCACCACTGTAAAGTTTAATATTATAGAGACATCTGCTCTAATGAATTTCTTCAGAATGATAGATCTATATCAGTCTATTCTCTAGCATCTGTCATCTGACTTTGTGATACAGATGAAAGATATCTGTGTTTTCAGAAACAGAAATACAGATGTTGTACTCTTTTACACTCATGAGTGTGAGACTTGTATATTTTGTCTGAGATATCATTGTGAGAATGAGCTGTTCACACACTGTGTTCTGCTTTCTGCATTTTCTCATGTCTCTCTCTCTCTTTCTGAGAAGTCTTGTGTGTGTTGTAATTGCATGTATAACTCTAAGACTAGTGAGTATTCATTCAGTAACTACTTTCATCTCTGATTTTTTGATTTTTGTATACTAACAATGATTCTTAGTTGCTTCAGTGTCAGAGATCATTCTAATTGAAGATGATAACACTGCAGAGACTACTCTCTTCTGCTCTCAAGCTTCTCTTATTATTTTCTCTCTCTTCTCTGCAGAGAAGGTTGTGTGCATATCAGATTATAAGTATTCAGCTCTGAGTAGCTTCTGCTGTTATTTATCTGATTCTGTGTCTTCTTCTTCTTCTGTTTCTTCTGTCTCTGTTTCTTCTGCTCTGACTTCTGATTCTGCAGATTCTGTGCTCTTCTTCAATTTCTCTATATGTACATGTACACATTTCTATATTAGCATTTCAGTCAATCTTGTGATAAATGACATTAATGTCATATACAGAGTGATAGAGGAATCAGAGACATACATGACATTGTTACAAGAGCAGCTTGCAGCTCTCAAATTTCTTACAGACCTTGAGTTTTGAGATTTCCTTTTTTGACATTTTTCAGGTGGTGTGGTGTTGGAAATAGATTAAATGTGTGATGTATGAAAATGAATGAAATGTGTATGATAACATTTGTTTTTTACAGCTGACTCTTATAATTGATGATCAATTCATTATTTCTTTTCTTTTCTTACACTTTTACTTTATCTGCTAGTCATCACTCTTACATGATCTCTATATAATACAGCATTCAGTGACTAGATTCAGTAGCTTTCATCTTTTGTGATTCTGTCTCATATATTATACTGTCTCTCTTCACCTGCTTAAATTACTACAGTGAACAGCTCATCAAAACTAACCTCACTTAATCTCTGAGCATTCTCAGGGATCAAGATGACTTAGTCTCACATGTCTGTGAATGTTTCAGATAGTTCATCTTCTGTGATCTCTGTGATTGAACTGATGTAAACAGTTAAATTCAACTCTGAATTTCTTTTTCTTCTGTGATCTGATTCATGTGCAAGTCTGCTGCTTTGAGATCACTCTTTATCATATTGTATCTACTGTCTGTAGCATGTTATTATATGACTAGCTACAGTCTCATTACTTATTGAAGTGTGATATTCATCTGATTTCTTCATTACTTTTCATTCTTTTCTTATAATCATGAAAAGATTGAAATAAGTGAGATCATCTGATTTGTAAGTATCTATGATTTCTCTTACTTTATAAGACTTTTCAATTATAAGTCTCTTCTT